CACTGGCAATGTGGAATGGAGTGATAGAGCAGTTCAAGCATTAGGGTCAATTCGCCCCTGATTTTGAGAAGTTAATTTTCAGATGGGACAGAGTGCCATAAATTTCAAACTCATTGAGGATATTGGGTAGCAAGATGACTGAGTTAGTTAGCGAAAAAAGTATACCATTCGCGTTGGTGGAGACCTTATGTTGAGTGGAACCCACTCACAGGTCAGTAATGTCCACATTTCATCTGACCATGCAGCAAAAAGGGCTGAGGCAAAGAGGAGTGAGGAAAGGAGGCAGCTCTGCCTTGTGCCGTTAGAAATGGGGAAAAAAAAGGTTCTGAAATGGTCCTATTCGCTTTAACTGACACCAACATGGAGCAGAATGGTAAACATAAACTGCCAGTTTACCAAAAGCTTTCTCCGCATAGGTCGCAAGGAAGACACAAGGGGTAGCTGAGAAATTGGCCTGATGAATCAGATTCAGTACTTTAATCTTGTCCCGAGCCTTGCACCTGGGAATGAAGCCCATCCAATCTAGACGGATCAGACACGGTAAACGCTTCTGAAGGTGTGTGTCCAGAACATGGGGCCCCCGGGCAATAGGGGATCATGGGGCCCCTGTGTCCTTGCCCAAACTCAAAAAAGCCTAAGAAAAAGGTACTAGGGGCAGGTCATGGGGCCCCCTACTGACCCCAGGCCTCGGGCAGTGCCCGAGTTTCCAAATGGTCAGTCCGCCCCTGGTCCAGAATCTTTGTAAATGGGCTATATTTTTTTAGTCTTAGAGAGGTAAGACGCTCTCCCACATTTTTTATTGCTGTCTATGTCCTTATTGGTTAGATTCACCCTCTCTGTATGTCCTGATGACCACTGTCATCAAGATAAAAACTGAAGGAAAACCCAATATATAACTTATCAGAACAAGAAGTGAAGGTACTGTAAAGTATCCAAAGGGGATAACTATTGTGGTGGTAGCTAAGGTGAGTTCCTCTAGTTTTGGTCAGATTTCCTATCTTATTTTGAGCCTCCAATACGCACTGCTATCTCCTCCTATCAACTTGCCTTTTGTGCTGCAGCATAGTTGATTGTCTCATTGTGCTGCTTCTCCCTCTCTGGACTCTGCTGTACAGGGACTGAGAGATGCTGATACTACAGTATGTCAAGTTCATATATTTGCACTGCTTGCATTTTTAAAATCTTTTTTTTTTTTTTTTTTTTATCTATTAACGATTTCAACTTTTAAAGAGAAGTTTTTTTTTTTTTTTTTTTCATTATCCCAAATGATACTTACCTAGGTGGATGCAGCATCGGTCCAATACTGCATCTGTCCCCTGCCAGCTCTAAATGTGAGAACTCAGCGTTCAAATGACCACTGGTCGCTGAGTTGCCACAGCTGCTTTGAGCAGAGAGTGGTGACTATCAGTCACCGCTGTCCTTTCTGCACCCTCACCCCTGGAGGGGGAGGGAGCGGCTGGCTCAGTCTCTCAGCAGATTGCTTAAAGGCTGAGCCTGGTGCCACTCCAGATTCTGGAGTGGATCCTGACTTTAAAGTCAGGATCCTTCCCCAACCTGGACCGGCTGAGTGATGTTGGTCCGCTTCAGCCCGCTGTCAGCTGAAAACAGGTCACAGGAGTGCAGAACCAACAGAGCTTTGGCTTTACATCTTCTATATTGAGGTACAGCATAGGTGGTCGCCATTCATCTTCTTCTGGTATAATGACATTTATCTTGTTCTAGTTACTCTATGTGGAAATGTCTCCAATTTGACCTTGCAATCCAGCGGAAGCCACCTAACACTTCATTTTCACACTGATTCGTCTGGGACCAGACGCGGGTTTCACCTCTATTATCATGATGGCACTGCAGAAACACTGCGGTCCCTGGAAACTGCCAAGGAAAATGGTTAGTTTTGGCCTTTAAGGCTTTAGGCTTGCTTAGATTTGTTTAGTACTTACGATAAATAAACTGACCTTAAAAAAATTCACACAAGTGGTTATAACCCTCCCTTACCAGATCCAAAATGTAGAAAAAATTAGTCACCCAGGAACAGAATTCATCTCCGTCCAATTCTAAAAAAAAAACCCTCTTATAGGGGGATGACCTAGCATTAATAAGAGATTGCTATATTTGTACACTCAAAAGTTCCCTTTCATACCTTGTCTTTTTTAGTAAACACCGAAAAACAATTTTACTGTGAAAATGTTTTAATTTTTTTAATATAATAAATGTAGAATTATTTGCTCTAAATCTAATTTAGATGTAGCGCTACCCCCCTTGAGAGCCTCTGTTTTCTGGCCCCCCTTATTACCTGCATAGCCAGGCAACATGCATTTTCCAACTTTCCGTAAATCAGTCCATGGGCTTGTTTTTGTTTTATTTAGGGGAAACAACTTGGGTATAGGGGTATATGGAATGCCCAACTTGACTTGAAACCAATACTCTGAGGACAAACTTCCTAAGTTCTCCACAAAAATGAAGGATACTGGACTGTACTCTCTACCCCTTCCTGAGTGGCAACAATCTCTTGGAAAATCCATAACACAGTCTCAGTAAGGAGCACTTGGTCCCCTCTTCAGACCCCAGCTAGAAACTGCCCATCCACCTAGCTCTTTGAAGAGTATCCTGGAGCAAGAGATTCCGAAACAGACTTGTACCACTGTTCCAGTGAGAACTGGTTGGGTATAGTACATAGCAGCTCTCTCTCCTGTAGGTCCTGTGGATGTAGAGGTACTTACTGTAATTTTGTGTCCTTTAACTTTGGATAAACTGCTTTTCAGGCATTTGTAGCAGAATTATTTTCTTCTAGGCTAGCAGGCTTTCCTTCCTCAGTGGGCTGCAGGGCAGTGGAGCTCCCTCTGTCAGCTTCCTTCTCTTCCAGCCTCCAGCTTGGAGGCAGAACCCCCCCCCCCCCCCCCTCCTCCGGGGACCCCTACCAGGCTACACAGCAGCACACTTCAGCACTCAATCTTCCACCCAACTCCTCTGCTGGCCAAGCTCTCTCATATTTATGGGCCTGTCTTGCTACACTGCCAGGAGTGCAGTCAATATAGGAGTCCAATAACACAATATACGAATAAACCCCCCCCCCCCCCCCCCCCCAAAACCCATTCAAAAGAATATTGAGCTTGTAGTGTCACCATTAAATTCCATCACCATGTCACACACAGCCTCTTATCAGATCGTAATACCCCAAATTATAGGTAGTCTATAAGTGCTTTGAGGTGCATGGACCTTATTGTAGCCAATGTATCCAATTATTAGGGAACCACTGGGCACACCAACAGGAAGACCTAATTGCATAACCTCTTTTGCTCTGTGGATTAACATCCAAAAATGCTAAACAAGTAAAAAGTTGGCTTATACATTTATTTTATTATTTTTCAGGAAACTGTGGGAAGTCACTGATCGATCCTATTCTGAGAGGTGGGCACATCACAATACCTGAGATTGTTACAGATGAAAGAGGGACGGTGCGGGTGGTTGGAGGGCTGGCCGCCACCTGGAGGTCATGGCCATGGATAGCCCAAATCCAGAACAAGAATGGAAAACATTACTGCGGGGCAACAATCATTAATGAGATGTGGTTGGTGACTGCCGCGCACTGCAGATTCAAGTAAAAAAAGATACATTATGGTTCTTTATCTCTGTAGACCTTATTTTCCAGGAGCTACATGATGCTATGGCATGTCTAAGGGGACATTCACACCAGAAACTGCACATAACTGTGTGTTTTTTTCCTTGTACCTATGCATGCATTTGATGCGCCATTTACTTGCAGTTGATGCACGCTTTTCTATCTGTATTTGATCTGTGAGGTCACTTCCTTCTTCTTTCTTTCCTTGGGCTTCTATGTGTACTGTGATACATTGCAGTATGTTCACATGTGTTTTTGCATGTTTGGAAAATGCAGCATGATATACTTTTCTGCATTGCAATGGTGTGAACTATGCCCATAGGATAGCCTGGATTTTGGACTGTCTATGCATTTGGAGTGCAGTCCAAAATGCATCCAACTGCAGCTCACTGCATTAGGTGTGAAAGAACCTTCACTCATGAGAAGAGCTGAAAGCAAATTTTGAATTATGTTTTTTAAGAATTAATTCAATGGATTTTGATAGCTGAATCTGAATTTCAGTGTTATTTTTGGTGTTACAGATTTCAAAAAAGGCTTCTGAAAGAAAGGGACCAAAGGCTGCTCCAAATGCTGTTTCTGGCTTTTATTTTCTGCTTGAGCACCCTTAGCTTGACTGCCATTACCATTTGGTCTCATCCTCCTGGCTTAGTATCCCTGGTAGGATTTTTAAAGGAAGTGGCTCACATTGCTGTTTCATCTTCTCATCATGCCAGGGCCTTCACAAACCATTCTGCATCAATTTCCATCATTTTCTGCTCATTAATACATATTTTTGGAGCTTGGTGTGATTTTTCATTGATTTCTGTTCAATATTTTTATAGAAAGGTTTAAATGAATTCAGGTAAACAAGTTAGAGGTAGTCCAACATTGCAAAGTGCAGTACACTTAGTCAAACACCAGTTTTCTATTCCAGAGCATGACGTTCTGTATGGAATTTGATCCAGCGGGGCTTTACTGGGTGCCAAAAGAATACAATATTGTTTATAATAGAAAAGAAATGGGGAGAAAAAGTGGTAATGAGAATTCAGGGGGCTGCATTTGTGTAAAGATGCCAGGCTCGGGAAACCATCATAAGTGCTTCTTGTCAGTTAGAATGCCAAAAAAAGAATGGTCTAAGTCTAAAGGAAGATAGTGTTGGATTCATAATATAAGATAAAGATGTGACAATGTGTAATGTGAAATTGTAAAACTTTCTTCTGAATAGCATGAAGATAACTTTTTTCAAATTTGTATTCGCAGAGTTGGGTCAGATAAAGTGTTTGTGGGAGTGACTGACCTGACACAGCAAGAACAAACAGAAGCCTTTGTAAAACGTACTTTTACGCACGATCTTTATGATACTGAATATATTCCTCCTGAGCATGACCTCCGCCTGTTGGAGCTTGAGACACCTCTTGTTCTGGGTAACAAATATTTATTTTTAAAGGGAAAATATTGTATTTTAACAGACATTTGTTTTAAATATTTTGGTGTATAGCTAAAGCCAAAAATGTTTGTTTTATTTTGAATTTTTTTGATTTTTAGATTTGGCTACAGTACCACTGTGTCAGGTTTTTTTCCCTTGCTGTGTACAATTCAGGAGATTTCCCTTTACTTCCTCTCTTGTAGAAACAACAAAAGGTTAGAGAAATGGGTGGAAGGAAGGAAGGGGTGGATGGATGGAAAGAAGGAAGGAAGGAAAGAAGAGGTGGATGGTAGGAAGGGTGGAAGGAAGGAGGAGGTGGGTGGGTAGAAGGAAGAAGAGGAGGGAGGGGTGGGTGGAAGAGAGGGGGGATGGGTGGAAGGAAGTAAAGGAGGGTGGAAGGAAGGGAGGGTGGAGGGATGGGTGGAAGGAAGGGAGGGGGAGGGTGGAGGGATGGGTGGAAGAAAGGGAGGGGTGGGTGGAGGGATGGATGGAAGGAAGGGGGGGGGTAGAAAGATGGAAGGGGGGGGGGTGGAAGGAAGTTTGGGTCAAACTCACCATGACTCCTTCAGAAGCATCAGAGCTGTGACTGTCGGCTGCTGTGTTGAGTTTCCCGCCCACACTTCCTCTGAAGCTGCATGGACTGGAGTGTGGGCGGGCACAGGGGGGAGACAGAGCAGATCCAGCCTCTCTCCCCTCTTCTCCTATTGGTGCAGAGGATGTAGGGAGGGGCTGGGCTGCTGGGCAGTGAGAAGAACTCAGTGGCGGGAACACAGAGGCGGTGGGAGGGAGCGGGGGGGCAGAAAGAAAACCATTTTGTACAGTGGTGGAGGCGGCAAGCAGCGCCGCAGTTAGGGGTGCGTGGGAGGGGCGGTGGTTGTGGTGACAGGCAGCGATCTCCTGTATGGCTTTCAATGAAGCAGCTGGAAGCTGCATCTCCTCCTCTCCCTCCTGCGGCTTTCAGCTGCTTCATTGAGAGCCATACAGGAGATCGGAGTAAATATACAAATGCAGTGAGCGCTCTCAATATTTAGCAGCTGAGCATTAAAGGAAAAACCATATAAAAAGTCCCAAAGAATATATATATAAAAAATGCAGCACTATCTGGTATTATTATGCTATAGGCAATTATGATGAAGAAAAAATAAAATATTAAATTCAAATGAATAAAATAAATCACAGTCCAAAGAAAGTGCTTGCTGATTCCCACCATGTGGTTAATGAACCAAACCTTGTCCTGCCAGAGAACAGGACATGATGAAAATGTTTAGTTAAGAAAAGGAACAAAAAAGGAGCCTTTTCAATTTTTGCAGCCCCAGAGTGATCTCTGTACCAGCTCCTGAGAGGGCGGACTACATCTTGGTAAAGATTTCTCTGACCTGCTAGACCTCATCTTCTCCACACGAGGGCGCTTCATCTTCACATTTTTCCAGCTCCTGCCCATGACCAGACCAGAAAAGAGGGGAATCTTCAGGATATTTTATACATATGCGTATTACCAATACGCTTCTGGTTAGTGTGCATTTCTACCATCTGCACTGGGAATTAGTGAGCACTTTCTTTGGACTGTGATTTATTTTATTCATTTGCATTTAAGATTTTCTTCATCATAATTGCCTATAGCATAATAATACCAGATAGCGCTGCATTTTTTATATACATACAGGAGATCGCTGCCTGTCACCACAACCACCACCACCCCTCCCAACCACCCCTAGCCCCAGCACTGCTCGCTGCCTCCACCACTGCACAGAACGGTTTCTTTCTGCCCCCGCTCCCTCCCACTGCCACAGTGTTCCAGCCGCTGTGTTCTTCTCACTGCCCAGCTCAAATTTCGAGGCCTGCAGGGATAGTTGGCAACTCTCCTCTGGGGAAGGGGGTTCAGACCCCTCTAAACCCCCCCCCCTTATCTACACCCCTTGACAGTTGTCATAGTGTTCACATTCAAAGGTTTAACCTTGCTTTCTGTGACAACTCTCAACTGCCATCTTCTGGGTCCGGAGTCTTCTGCTTCCAGGCCTAGATAGTTCCCTACTGGCTGAAAGAATAGGTCGGTAGGCTCAAGGTCATTATGAAATGGTTCTGTTTTGGAGATTACAAAGTGTACCCGTTAGAACCCCTCAACTAGTGTGCGGAGCAGATTAGTTTGCCTAGTGAAGCAAAGGGGCCCAATTCCCTCAATACAGTGGCATATCCTCAATGGGTGCATTGTGTGCAGTGCACATTGGCTCCAAGGATGGGGTGCAACCGTGCCCTCACACATTGCACAACAATGGGGAAATGCCAGTTTTAATGTCTTCGCTGCCGTTGCAATTGTCAGTTGCAATAAAGAAGATGACTAAAAGTGGAGAAAGACATGCTATTACATTTGGATAGAATGGTAAGGCAAGGGCTGTGTGACTGTATTTTGGGATAGCAGTCCACTTACTACTGACACCTGAATTCTGTTTCACTTACTATTGACCTCTGAACTCCACCTCATTTACTACTGACCATTGAACTCGGTGTCCCTACTGAACCTTTGCATCACTTGCTACTGACTTCTGCACTCTGCGTCACTTACAATCTCTGAACTCTGTGTCACTACTGACCCCTAAACTTGGTGTCACTGACCTCTGAACTCTGCATCACTTACTACTGACCCCTGGACTCTGTCACTTAATCTTGAGTCTGAATTCTGCGTCACTTACTACGGAACCCCTTGAATTCTGCGCCACTTAGTATGGAATCCCCTGAATTCTGCGTTTACTAGGGATCCCTGAACTCTGTCACTTACTACTGACTCCTGAACTCTGTGTCAGTTGCTACTGAACATTTGTGTCACTTACTGCTGACCCCTGAACTCTGTGCAACTTACTACTAAACCCCCTGAACTCTGTGTCACTACCTAACCTTCGTGTCACTACTGACCCCTGAACTCTGCATCACTTCCTACTGAACCCCTGAACTCTGCATTTACTATTAACCCCTGAATTCTGCATCACTAATTACCCCTGAACTCTGTGCCATTTACTCCTGACCCCTGAACTCTACGTCACTCATGGCTTCTGAACTCTGCTCCAGCTTCAGAATGCTGCATCACTCTGTGTGCACCACACTTTCTTTTTCTCAAGTAGAATGCAACTTCTGATCCTGCACAGAAGCCCACTACTTTCAGAAGGTACTCCTGTTTCCAACACCCCGATAACATGGTGGACATAATGTGTGGCAATTTTACCTTCAGTGTCTCTGACATGAAATCTTTGTTGCTAGATGTGAGTGCTCTTTTTTTCTATGGGGAATCACAACTACACTTCTCAAATATTTTGCAGGATAATGTTAGTGTTACTAAACCCAGGACCCTGCATTCACTATTTCTGGTCTCCCACAGTACACACAACATGGAAATGCAAATATTTTAGTAAATATAAACTGCTAAATACCTTTTCTCATCAGCAATATATAGCCGTCTTGTGACTTCTATCAGGGTCTAGCAGAGCACATGTTAAAGCTTGTAGGTGGAGTTTTCATTCTGCTCTAGGAGGATACAAATCAGACTGATTTTACTGTTGTGGGTTTAGCAACACTTTAGAGATAGAAAACCTTCAACTTTCTTTTTAGGTGCATCAGTTGGTGTAATATGTTTACCTGAGAATAAAGAAGAACCTACAGATAATGGATGTCTGACAGCAGGGTGGGGTGTTTTGAAAGGTAAACAACTCCATGTACAAGTACTTTCATTTAAATATTTAAAACCTCAAGGGACCCAGTGTGTGCACCACATGCTTTTTCAAACCTTGTAAAAAATATTGATGCCATCACCACTAAGCTGCACATAGCCTGTGCCGAACCAGCAGCAGTGGTGGCATTTACTGGAACCAATTCCTGTATTTTCCTCCTGCAGCTGCTGAAAGCATGCTTCTCCTCCTCCTCCCTCCCGCCGGCATTCAGTGGCTGTAAGAGGAAAATAATAGAGATTGGTTCCAGTATATGCTACATCCGCCGCTCCTCCTGTCCATGTTCTGCTTCCTTCTGCTGCCCCACCTCCGTGTGCTCCTCTCGCAGTGCTACCAGCTTCCCCTCTTCTCCCGCTGCTGCTGCAGGGGATCGTTTCAGCATGGAGATTGGGGAAGGGTTCAGTAAATGTCACTTGCTGGCCACTTCCTTTTCTGAATGAACATGAATGTAAGTGATTGCTACCGACTGTGTTTACTAGCTTCAGTTTGTGAATGAACAGGAGACAGCACAGAGCTTTTTCTGTTCATTAATTCTGTGCAGCTGAGGTTACAGAAATGAAGATTGAGGACTGTCTTCAATCTTCCTTCTCTGTCTCCAAAATTGAGACATCAGGGGTGTAGACCCCTGATATTTCACCAAAGCCCACCAACAAGACTGCTAAAAAAATAAATAAAATTGTAAAAAATAAAAAAGAAGAAAAAAATTAGAGACACGGTCCACTGTCCTACTGACCCCTACTATAGTAGGCTTCCTGCTATTGACTACAGGAAGGGGCAGAGACGAGACCAGTCACCCTGCACAAGCAGACAAAGCATCAGTGACTGGTCTTTACTACAGGACGTTCCTGTATAGAGGCAAAGCTTTTCACACTGAATTACTGAACAGATCTAGAAGAAATCTAAAAAGCACACCAATATCCAAGTATGTATACATATGGCTTTTGTATTAAGACAATATGATCTGTTCATTGTTGGGGTTTATGTACACGTTAAAGCTCCAAGATAAGACAATATTTTCTCCCTGTTTGTCTGTTAAATATACCACTGAGAGTGTATGCCTATGTCTGTTCAATAAGCACAAAAATAGAAAAGAAGGAAAAAAAAGTTGTTCCTGCCAGAAATTTTATGGGCTGATAACTTTCTATGCTCTTTGCCTGTTCTGCACTTCTGTTAGTTACATTGTTCCCAGTTATCTCTGCATGTGTTTCTGTAGTCCTTTCCTAAGGTGACAGGGCTGCTTCTCCAAAGATACAGTACAGTTACTGGCAGGATCACCAGGTGATAAATCCAGCCCCATTGTCCTCCTGATATCATAGTGTTGCCTTCTACAATACTCAAGCTGGGTATAATAAAGTGCCCTTTTTTTAGGTTCACAGTATGCTAAGGTACTACAGCAAGCAAGGATTCCTCTGGTGTCTAAGGAAGAGTGCATGAAATTCTGGAAGGAAGATCTAACCGAGGGAAACGTGTGTGCAGGGGGAGCAGGCGCTTCATCTTGTTTGGTGCGAAATTATTACATTAAATGTTGCTAATGCTCATCTTCTCTTCCTGCTAACATGACTGCCAGGAACATTTCCTTTAGTCCAAAGAAAGCCACAGACTTACTATCGTTGACTGCTGCAACTGAAAATGCTAGTTGCCAGACTGTCATAGATATAGATTTCAAGTGCAAATAAACTTTCAGTTTAATTCTGCAAAATTAATTTCAGGTACATCAAAACAAAATGTGCGCAAAGTCTTACAGTTGATTATCTTAGAAAGCAGCCACAGTCTAAGTAGAAATGCCTGTTCCCTGGCAGAATGCTGTAGAGAATAACCCTTGCACACTGTGTGGAAGCAGAGGTCTCTCTGCAGAGCTCCAACACATCCCCTGCTGAGTCACACCTATAGCTCTGCAATCAGAAAAGCTCATGCTCCCTGCTGATTGGGGGGAGCTCTAGCTCTGACTCATCAGGAGTGTCATGGAGCTCTGTGTAAAAAAGCGATGTCATGGAGCTCTGTGTAAAAGCAGAGAGACCACTGCTTTCACACAGAGATCAAGGATTCCATTCTGCAGCATACTGGCAGAACATAGGATTTCCTAGTCGGGCTGTGGCTTCTTTCTAAAGAACATGAACCATAAAACTTTGCACCTTTTTGTTTTTATGCACCTGGAATACATTTAGCTGATTTAACTGATTCAGTACCGCTATAAGTACGTATTGTATATGGCTTCTTATTGAAGCAGGTATGCTGGGATCATGACTGCAGCTGGATTCATGGTCTTGTTGTTTCTTAGATCCAGTGATTCTGCACTTTGTTAAAGTAATCCTGAAGTGTCCATATATATTTGGACAAAGGCACAATTTTTAGGGTTTTTTTCAGGTATTTACAAAAACATATTCAAGCTATAGTTATATAATGGGTATAGGCTGAAAGTGCACACTCTCAGGTTTAATTTGAGGGTATGTACATCCAAATTGCAGGAAGGGTTTAGCAATTACAGCTCGTAAGAGTAGCCATCCCCCCTTTTTCAAGGGACCAAAAGTAATTGGACAATTGAATCAAAAGCTGTTTCATGGCCGAGTGTGGGCTACTCCTTCCTTATTTCTTCATCAATTAGGCAGGTAAAAGGTCTGGAGTTGATTCTAAGTGTGGTATTTGCATTTGGAATCTATTGCTGTGAACCTACATCAAGCGTTCAAAGGAGCTGTCCATGCAAGTGAAACAGACCATTGTAAAGCTTCAAAAAATGAAACCAATTCATCAGAGAGATAGCAGCAACATTGGGAGTGGCCAAATCAACAGTTTGGTACATTATCAAATTAAACCTGAGAGTGTGCACTTTCAGCCCATATCCATTATATAACTATAACTTGAATATGTTTTGGTAAATACCTTAAAAAAAACTAAAATTGTGCCTGTGTCCAAATATATATGGACCTAACTGTATACAGCTGCTAGATTACATTTACAGGTAGCGGAAGGGTCCCATCCCCAACCGCTGCCGCCGCCTTTATCAGGCTCCCGAGTGACCAGGGAGCCTGGTAAATCTGCAACTGATGGCATTGGCTTCCCCGGACACCCGTGAGAAAAGCTGGCACCGTTCCTCCCACTGTGTGACTTCAGAAACTGGAAGCGACAAGGTTTTAGTCATTTCCAGTTTTGGTTTGTTTGTTTCCTGGCTTGTGGTTGGTTTGATCTGCTGATTTGGGTGCCAGAGGAGAGATCTGGGGTCTAATAGACCTTCTGTACTGAAATGTATTGTAATTGTACTGTCTCCCTTCTATTGTAAAGTGCTGAGCAAACTGTTGGCACTATATAAATCCTGTATAATAATAAATTGTACCTGTCATGGCCCATGCTATCACAAGGGATGTTGTGTTTGCTATCTATTTACTTGGCATAACATCATCTTTCATATTTTAACAACAATTGGGTAGTATTTTGTGTTTGTGTACACTAAAATTCATTCAAAATAGAAAGTATATTTTTTCCTAAAAAAATTGTTTGAAAAACTGCTGCACAAATACTGTAATACTGTGACATTAACAAATTGAACAAATTAAGTACTTTTCTAGCAAATGCCGATTTTTACATGTATGACAGAAATGTCAGAAATAGGTCAAAGAGTTAAAGTCCAGTTGCACAAAACTCCTGATCTAAGTACTTGTTCCAGTTTGTTCATAAAAGGCAAAAAATAAAACATGACTGCTGGTGTTTCTAGAAGGTTGGAAATTGTGGTCTGCTATCAGCCAGGCAATGATCATCTAATGTCTAATACAGTTGAGTTATTTGAAAGTTCAAGTATTTGGAAACATTCCAGAAGCTTTGAATCGCAATGTCTTAGGAATCTGCCTCTCCGTGATGGTTACCAGTTTACTCAAAGGCATTTTATGAATTAAGCCTGGTACACAAGAAGAGAATATCGGACGAATAATCGTTTTTTTTTTTTTTTTTTTTTTTTTTTTTTTCATTTGGTTGTTTTTTTTCATGCTAGCTAGTCTCATATTGAAAGTGAAGAGGTTACAAAATTTCTTGTACAACAGAATAGAACTTCGGAAGTGGTGTAATGTGTTCTTTCGTTTCTGAGCATGCGTGGTCTTGCTCTTCCGATATATTTTTTTTTTTTTTTTTTTTTTGTCAGACGAATACTGTACTAATTAAATGAAAATCGTATGATCTGGTATCGTAAGAAAAGCATTTTTGTGTTTGTCCCTTCTAATAATTTTAGATGAAAGATGTATACCAATGATCAGATTATCATAGGATTGCTTCGAAAGTGGTATTTTTTATGTCCGATTTTCTGATTGTGCGTACTAGGCTTTAGATTGGTGCCAGGTTTAGTATTTGTATAGTCAAAACCTTTCTTTTTAGTTTCGGATAGAGAAGGGAAAAATTTGGGGTATTGAACGTGGATGGGTTGAGGGGTGTGTGGGATGCTCAGGGCAAATGTAAACTGAGGACAAACTCCTTAGCAATTATGTAAAAGTCCATTAGATGACAGTCTCTTGGTCAGAAGAGCTCTCCAGCCCTCCAGGTGTACCACCTCAGACCCCAGATGAAATCTCCTCTTCACCCAGCTGCCTGAGGGAATCTCTTGGCAAGGGGACCCATAATCTGCTACTTCAAAATCAGCAGTCCCAGATGAAGGTAATCAGGTTTCCCACCAGGATGCTCTCTCCCCTTATCCGGCCCAAGGGGTGTGGGATTACCTACTCAGTCCTTTCCTGAAAGTTTACGGGTTGGTGGCTGTCTTCAGGCCTTATGCTGGGCTGGCTTCTTCCTTGCTTCCCAGGCTGTCCTCTCTCAGGGGACAGTTGAGGCTGAGACCTCCTCCCCCCCTCCCAGGCTCCTTGCTCCTGCTCTCATATCTTCCACCCGAACTCTCCTGCTTCTGAGCAGGCTCTATCACTCTTAATTGCGGTCCTTACCCCATGCCAAGCCTCCTGCACTCTTGAGGAATCCTGACCAATCCCCAAGCAGATCAGTTCCTCCTCACCCCTGCCCACTGAGTTCTAGAGACTTCTCCAAGTCTTCTAGATCAGTGGGAAGTATCGGAGAGCTAATCTGCAAAGCCTCTCAGCCCTGACCCAGATTTAACCCTCTATCACCCAGGCTGCTACTCCACCATCTAACTAAAAAATAATTAGCTCCCAATAGCTAACAAGGAGGGTGCTACATTTAACTAGGTTTTTTTATTCCTATCTATGTCACCACTGGAGAGATTCACTCACTTATATTTGCCCTGGTGACCATTCTCACCATGCCAGAACATTCCTAAACCACCAGACCAAGAGGAAATGGGACCTCTTTCAATGGGGGGGATACTTATTGAAATCTCCCCAATGAAACACTCCAATAAATTCACACAGGTTTTAATGCTTCCCTACATTTTGCAAAACAAAAAAAGATGTTTGTTACACTTTAACCACTTACCCTGGCTATGAGAACATTACTACTGTGTTACAAATCCATATGCCTATGATATTATTGTGTTCAGCTTGACTTTTTTTTTTTTTTTTTCAGGGGGATTCAGGAGGTCCACTGATTTGTAAAATGAAGAACAAGTACATGCTGGTGGGAATAGTCAGCTGGGGGAGCGGTATTTGTGAACCTAAAACACCAGCTGTTTACACTTTATTAGCTAAATACAGAGACTGGATAAAACAACACACTGGAGTATAATAAAAATGTATTCTGTCTTTTGTTTGGTTTGCCTCCATCTGCATGGCATTTGAAAGGTGTCATTCAGACCCCTTAGGTTAGTGATTTTTCAGTTTACAAACTGTTGTAGGCAGGGCATGGTTTACATTTTCCCTCCACTAGGCCAGCTCCTTTGTGCTGCCACCCTATGACTTGCTATGCCCGGAGTTCATCTTTAATGGAAGGAGAAGGCAGGACTAAGCAGCTCCAGACAAAAGGGCTTACATTTTCTGACTCCAGGAGGAAGGGGAGGATGGTGGTATTAAAAGTATAAGGCTCTGTTGGACTACATACCTACACAAATGAACACCCATTTGAACATAGGCTGGGCAGTTAGTTGCAGTCCTTCTAAAGGTCTTGTGCCTCCCTCAGCCTGTGACTAGACAGTGAAAAGAAAGGCAGCAGAAGGATTAGCTCATTTTTGTTATTCTACTCTCCTCTCCTCCTGCTAGCCTGCCCCCTGTTAGCATATTAACACTGCAGCACACCTCACTGGCTCCTTGTGCTGCTTCTCCCTCTCCCAGGAATTTATACTGCTTACATTTAAAAAAAAAAAAAAAATTAGTGATTATATTAATGAATACAGAGCTGCATTAATGTGTGTCTTTTAGGGCCTGTTCAAACAGGAATGCAGATATATGGGGATGTCTCTTTGCTGAATATTTGGGGATGTCTACTGGACAGGGCCATCTCTTTGCTGAATGTATGGTGCTGTCTCTTTGCTTCTCTTTGGCCAAAATATAATTCCCTACTGTTAAATCTTGAAAGCACTGATGACTTGGAATACATGTTTCATTTGCATATATTATCTTGTAAGAGTGTTAAAATAAAAGTGGGTAGACTGAAGGTGGGATGGCTAGTGGACGAATTCAGTGGGACAGCCAGTGGGCAGCCCCTGGGAAATGTTGGTGGTCAGACCTAAAGATGCGTAAAGGGCTCCAAAATTTTTGATGGCTGCCCTGGGCACTATCAAGCCTGAAACTAGCCTGCCCAGCACTCTGCAGGCCACTATGGCAGGCCAGACAGGAGAGAGCCTGATGCTCTAGCCTGCCCAGTCTCTACTTCTCTGTCCTGCTCCTGCTTTCACTCCGTAGCGGCAGGACAGAGCACTGTGGCAGGCTGTGGGGGGGCAGAGCCATGCTGATGTGGCAGTGTGGTAAAACATTATTGGGGGGCAGTGGTGACACTGTTTTACCGCACCAGGTGACGCCAACCCTAGTGATGTCACTTATCATCGGCATGCCTTAGGAGACACCAGGACTTGTCCTTCTCTCCAAGTAGTCTGGTAATACCCTTTCTGTTCCATATTGGGATACAACACCATCACTCTACTCCACAAGCCTCCATACATACCACATCATCAATGGTTCATCCGACAAGATACTCTAGCTACGTTTTACTAGCAGATGCTCAAATCTCTGTAGTTTGTCGGGGTGTTTATGATTCCTATATGTTAAATTAAAATTTTCTGTCTTGATATTTTAGGTAAATGGCAGCTGTGTTTTCATCCCATAAGCTAGCTGTATATTCCTATATTTTGAAGCATATATTTTCTGCTACTGTTGTATTGGGTCCTCTGTTCTTACCTTGACCTTTACAAAGACCCAGGGCAGACTGACTATTTGGAAACTTGGGCACTGCCCGAGGGCCTGGGGTCAGTAGGAGGCCCCATGAGATGCCCCTGGTACCATTTTAATAGGCTTGTTTGAGCTTGGGCAAGGACACAGGGGCCCCATGATCCCCTTTTGCCCGGGGGCCCCATGAGTTGTCAGTCTGCCCCTGCATAGACCTCTTCACCTCTCACACCTCGGGCATGCACATCAATAGACACAGACTGATGACTTTTTGGCTAGTGCCTCAGGGTCACACTGGAATGAGACTTGAAACCGTGGTGTAAAATATATTGAGAATATGAGTATTCAAAAATCACAGATTACAACACGGAACACTTTGACATACAGTTTCGAATATCAATGTAGTAGGAGTGCCACCTTAGGTTCTGGTAAGGTCCGCATACACTGTAGCTTTCCCCACAGGAAATGAGCAACATAAGACAACCGTGAACTTACTGGCTAGAATAATGGCTAAGTCGCCTAGAGTCACTTAGGGTGTGGAGGTTAGGGCAGAGGCTATAATGCAATAACTGCAAGGTAACTTTAAACTCTTGGCTATGCAGGATAACAGATAATCTAACTCAGACGTTAAAGCAAGTCTATCGGTCGGCCACATTGGAGCTCTTGAAGACATTGGTGCACTAGAGGAAATGGTTTCTGCAAAAAAACGGTTGTAGAACACTGGTTTCCTAAGAGCACTGAGTGGAGTTGTTGTGTTACACTATTTCATTTATTATTATTTTTTGCTGGCTGATAGCTAAAAAGAGTGGGAAATTTGAAAAAGTTTTAATTTTGATTGCTGGTGATTGCTGGTGCTTGTAGTTTTATTTTCTTCTTTGGGTCTTGCTAAAAGCTTTTATTTATTTTTTAAAATCCCTTTTTCTGTCACTTTTTAAATAGCATTTTTTTTTCTTGCTTTCCTTGTCTTCCTTCAGTCTGCTAATTAAGGGGAGGGGTTAATTGGTCACAGGTGATACAGGTCCTATATAACTTGCTGTAGAGCTCACTCTGAGCTTGCCTGTATTTTTCTTGCCGGACCTTTTGGCCAAGTGGACATTTGATGGGTGGAGTTAAAAAACAGGAGTCTACTAACCTGTAAGTGACAACTGATATTCCCTGTTAATATTGTAACTGGGATATGAGTGTTAGCAGGGTTGAAGGTTTTGTGCAGTGCACAGTGTGCCGCATGTATACAGCTATGGAGCAACAGCTCCATGATGGATACCGCTGCAACAGATGTGAGCGGGTTGCCCTTCTGGAACCTCACGTTAGAGATCTGGAGGGGCAAGTTGCAACACTGGGCAGAACTGACAACCTTGAAAGGGGTCTTCTGCTCTCTGAGCAGGTAGCTAATGGGATTGATGTGGAGGGAGAAGGGGCTGGATTTGAGCACCCAAACAGATTTGCCAAGTTGGATGAAGATGTGGGGGTGGCAAGCTCAGGGGTGGCAGCCCTGGATGTCACTGCTATCCCTAACAGCACGGGGGGGGGAGACCATCTGGGAGGGGTGGTGAGGATAGTGCAGGAAGGACTAGACAGCTGGTGGTAGTAGGGGATTCTATAATCAGAAGGACTGATAGAATAATTTGTTGCCAGGATCGCCTCAACTGAATGGTTTGCTGTCTCCCTGGTGCCAAGGTTTGGCATGTGGTGGACCGGGTTGATAAATTACTGGGAGGGGCTGGGCATGATCTGAGCTGTCTTGGTTCATGTTGGAACCAATGACAGAATACATGGAAGGTGGAGGCTCCTTAAGAATCAATTTAGAGAACTAGGCTGCAAGTTGAAGGGAAGGACCTCCAAGGTGATATTCTCTGAAATATTACTTGTGCCAGGGGGAGATTAGAGAACTCAATGCATGGCTGAAGACCTGGTGTAAGAGGGAAGGATTTGGGTATCTAGAGCACTGGGCTGACTTTTCATTGGGGTGCAAACTATATGCTAGAGATGGTCTGCACCTAAATGGAAGGGGGTCTGCTGTGCTGGGGGAGAGGTTAATGGGAAGGCTGGAAGAGTATTTAAACTAGGATCGAGGGGGGAGGGAGAATTAGATTATAACAGGGTAGACAAATCAGACAGGGGTCAGTACTCTATAATTGGCTAACACCATACATGATAATGGCGTTACAAAATTATTTTTTAATATATAATAAAATTAAAAATTTAAAATAAAATTAATATTAATACAATTAAGATTAATTTTATTAATATTTACATTATTTTTTTATTAAAAATTTTGTAACTCCATTATCATGTATGGTGTTAGCTAATTATAGAGTTTTGAGGCGTCATATATAAGAGAGGAGTTGAGGTGCAAAGGTCATAGTGATTAATTTGTTTAATTTAGATTTATTAAGTTAAATATAATTTTAAGAATGTTTTTTTTGATGGGCGGCAAACTCATTCATGTATATTTCATTTGGATATATTATTTATATTGTGTAACAATTTATATATGGTCTATTAATAATTGTTTTTGTAATTACTAGTATTCTGTGTATTGCCCTGTTTTAAGATGACAGATGGAGCCTGTGGGTTGCCATTAGTTTACATCACTTCTTGTGAGACGCGGATAAACTAATTGGGAATGAATTATCACCTGGTGATTCCAATTATGGGTCTCCGATATAGGCGGTAAGCCGCACCGTCACCCCTATGAGTAAGTCAGGAAATGACGAAACGCGTGATGTTGCGGAAAATCGGAAGTGGCGTGGGTCCGTGACCAGAAGTGGTGTAACGGCGTTCTGTCCAACAGTTCCGGAGGTGGTGAGAGCACCAAGTGGTCTCTACTGACCACTAATACTTGCAATATGGGCTTCTTTTGATTTTATACATTGTAAGTACAACACTTGTAGTAATAAAGTGATTTATCTTGGGTAATATACGATTGGAGTGGGTCTTGTTCTCTTTTTCATGGTATGGTGAAGTAATAATGGAGTGGATACTTGAACAACCCTGGCATTTGTTCACTGAATGAGCTAATTCTGGAGGAACTCCTGGTACTCACCAGTGGAAGCCCTCTTCGGTATTCTATATAATAAATGCAGAGGATATTATAAATTTGGTGAGTGCACACCCGAGTGGGGGCGCACTGTGAGCACTGTGTTTGTTGTTTTTTTCAACACCGTATGATTTTTATCACGGGACATTTCCATCACTGGACTTCATTTATTTGTTTTTGTATCACTGGACTTAGTTTTATCACGGTTTGTTTTGCTCACTATAGTATTTATCTATTTATTTTATATATTTATATAATTT